CACACACACTCTGTCATTTTACCAGAAGATCAAGTAATGACATTTTGAGTAAAGACATTTATGGGCTCAAATCAAAAAATAAATATCATCTGTGGATGTGCATGGATGAGTCGTTCACAATACGATCAATAAAGATGCAGTTTGTATGAATTTAGGACGAATTTTCCATCTCCTTCTGACTTGAACAAACTTGAAACTCTCATTTAAAACATGTTTGAGATGAAGTGAAATAGAAGAGTCTCTCAGTGATGCTGAACTCCAGCAGATGTCAGGGGCTGTGAGAGGCGTGTGTGTGTGTCTTACCCCGGTCTTATCACACAGTCTGAGTGTGTGGAAGGAGCCCATGGCGAAGAGCTCTCCGTCCGGAGCCCAGGCCACTGAGGTGACGGGGTAATCATGAGCAGAGCTGGAGAAGAGCAGCCGGCCGTAGCTATCCCACACCTGCAGCACAGACACACTCTCACACTCAACTCAAGAGGAGCTTGTCAATACACATGAGTTGTTGAGTTAATCATGATTTCATCATGTTAAAGCGGCAGTAGAAGACTGTGCTGAAGAATATGAAGGTCTGGATGTAAGACTGAACATAAAAGTCTTCATTTTCTCCCAACATCTGAGCCTCTGAGGATGCAGCGGATTACTTTCTTACTTTTGTTCGGTAGAGCGTTCGCACGGTGCGAGCTCTAACATTGCGCTGTTTCGTCCCACTTTTAGTGCATTTGGCTTCCCTTGCTCTCAGTCATGCTGCTGTTTATTGCTGTAGATATGCAATGCAGAGAGACGTATACGCTGCACCCTCTTCTGGAGACGGGGCGGGAATATGCAGCTCATTTGCATTTAAAGTGATACACACCAAAACAGCTCTTTCTTAGACACGCCTCAAAAATGACATTTTCCAGATGATATAATAAATGATCTGTGGGGTATTTTGAGCTGAAACTTCACAGACACATTCCTGGGACACCCAAGACCAATATTACATCTTGTAAAAAGGGGCATAATAGGTGCCCTTTAAGGATGCTTAAATATTTGTATTATGTTGGAAAACAAAACAAAAAGAGGAAGGATATTATATTTTAGAAATCAACATTATGAGTTTGAGGCTTTCTGCTTTGATTTAAGACCCTTCCATTTGTGGAAGGGCGGATTAAGACTTTTTAAGGTCTGCAGAAACCCTGTATTTACATTGATCTTTACCTTATATTTGCAGTCTTCTCCTCCTGACAGAATGAGATCATTGACAGCACTCCAGTCCACCTTCAGAATGACTCCGTCATGAGCTTTCCACTGCAGACACAGATCAAACACATACTATCATTGTTCAGGTGCAGGATATCATCAGTTCATGCACTGGCTGGGAATGGATCTGTGAGCTTGGTGTGCTGGTTGTGTGGTGCATCATGCGTGCTGTTACAGTACTGCACTACTGTAACTGAGTTTGACCCGATCAGTACACACACTGCAGCAGCCTATGGACATCTGTGAATATATCTGACGCGAGTATGCATTCAGACATTCAGCATCATCTGGCTCTGGCAGTGAGTTCTAGGACACGTGTGTGTGTGTGTGTGTGTGTGTTTAACACTAAAGACCTGCAGTAACTGCATCAGTGCTGTTTCTGAAAGAAGCTCCTGGGCCCTCATTTATCAACAGTGTGTATGCACAGATGTGTGCGTAATGAGTGCATAAGAACAGTTTCATGCAAAGTGTGGGATCTACCAACTCTATAGAAGCTTTTCTATGCACTCTTGATAAATGAGGGCCCTGGAGAGTTTGATTAAAGCACTGTGATATCCATGTCGTTTCAGTGGGTTGTATCATACTACAGCTCCCACGATGCCGCTTCTGGTAATGAGTGTAATGCTCGCTGTAGTACAGTGAATACTGTATTAGCTACATATGACAGCACAGCCTGAACACACGTGTACTTGTGCTAATCTGTGTTCTGCTGTCTCTAGGAACACACACACACACACACACACACACTGCCCTCTTCCCAGAGATGTGAATGCATGCTGCTGTGTGTTTCTGCTGAGTTTATGTGACCCGTCTGTGACATTGCCCTCGGGTCTGAGCTCAGGAGGTCAAAGGTCATGTGGGGGAGGGGTCTTTGTGCTATAACAACAATAACAAAGGAACAGCTGCATATTCCCAGCCATCCCATCAAACTCATCAGTATTATGAGTTACTCCTCGTCATGTGACAGGACTACATCACCAGCAAACCCCCTAACGCTAGCATTTGGTTCCCGTTTGGTTATTTCTAGAAACCAAATAATAACATTCTAGATTCCACCATAAAATAACGTTCCCAGAATGTTGCAGGAGGTCATTATTTTTTTGAGCTTAAGTTTAAAAACAACATACAGGACACAAAACATTCCATAATGGTTATTTTTAAGTTTTAATTAACAACCAAAAACTAACATTTCCAGAATGGTGCACATTTTGATGTCTTTGTGCGACAACCCTAATAAAACCTTGTTCTCTATTGATTATTTTTTAGAACCATGTAAACTAACCTTCCAATTAAAACAATGCACATGTTTTTGTGTGATGCTCTATACAGCGCATTTTATAATGTTCGTTTAATTTTTCATAATCATAAATTACATTTTGTAGAATTTGACATGATTTAATAAAATGCAGAAATTACATCACAGTCAAATGATCAGATGAATCCAAATGTGTAGCTGAAAATAGTAAAGCAGGGTAAAGCATAGTGTTCATAATAAACAGGAACTATAAATACGTGGGTTTGTTTCGATCTGTATTTGTATTTTGTTTCTCTTGTCTTCCACAGAATGTCATTTAAAAAAAAAAAAAACGAATGTTCATTTGGTTTTACAAGCTGACTGACTGTCTTTATTGAATACTTACTTACAGATATCAGAGTAAATATATATTCGTCAGAGATTTGAGAAGAACATTATGTTTACCAACAAGCTTTTGTTTACTAACCAAACAGAAAGAAACACGTCCCCAATAAACTCTAGTGGCTATTCAATAGTAAAAAATGCTATCCCAGTGAACAGTAAATGTAATTAAAGAGTCTAGTAAATGTCGGTGAATAATTGTCAGTCTATGAAGAAAAGTCGTAGTTTGTGAACACAGAGTCTGGGTTGTGTGTGTAATGCTGTACCTGCAGGACTTTGGCGCTGGGCTGCAGCGGCTTGATCACCAGCTGTCGACCCGCTGTGTACAGAACCCGTCCTGAGTCTGGAGCCCACGCCACGGAGTACACGGGAGTCCCTGCATTTAATCATTTGAATTACAATTATAATTTACACTCAATACATTATTATTGCATACTGTTTTATAATATACTTCAATACTGAGGTGAGATAATTGCCACTATTTGCATTAAGTAGTATAAATAGCAGAAAATCCTGCTATTTTAACAGTGTAAATATAATCTATAGATATTTGCACCTAGTGTAAATAGAATATCGCTAAAAAAAACAGCTATTTTCACTTAGTGCAAATAGCCGTTGCCTTATAGTAATGGAAAGGTGTGAATGAATGGATGAGGCATTTTATAGTGCTTTATTGTGTATTGCTGTACACCCAAAGCGCTTTACGATCATATGGCGGGATCTCTCCTCAACCACCACCAAGCTGGATCAAGCTGCTTACTGATATCACTGCATGTAAATGGAATAAAATCCCACTGAAATGCCTTCAGAAGCATGGTATTATTTAGTAGGTTAATGTAATTTCCACTGAAACAGGAAGTCAGGGCGGGACATATCGATAGCCAATAGCGTTTCATTCATGTCACAGCCCGGCGAAGCAGAATTTTATATCAGTATGTTTGAAAAACCCTGTCATCTCTTCTCCTCATCACTGATGTTCATAATGCTGAGGTTTAGGGTCTAACCGTTTTAAAACAGCATTCAGTGCAGAATTCTGATGTGTTTTGAGTGCTTTGGAGGGTCATTCACCTCAACAGACAGCATGTTTAAACGGTCTGAGTCGCTCCCTATTCTCTATAGTGTGCACTATGTACCATTCACTATACAGAAAATACTAATTCTGTGAACAAATGACCGATTTCAGCTGCAGCTTCAGTGTGTATTTATGCTTCAGATTCTAGAGAGCATTTGATTGGACAGAAAATCAGAGGAGAACCTGAAACGCAGAATGATGTCATCAAAATTGTTGATCCATACTACTGGAAGTGAGAAACTGTACATTACTGATGCTTATATCTTCTATTTTGTCGGTTTTGGAGCACAACTCAGGATAAATGAATACTATCCAGCAAAAAGCAGAGATTTAAGTAACAGCAGAGCACGCAGAGTAGCCTAGTTTAATTTTGTGTGAAAACATGGCGGAGAGCTGCGAGGTTGTAAACGAGTGCTAAGAGTATTATACAAATGTGTGTGTGAGTGTGTGTGTGTGAGAGTGTGTGTGT